CTAACTTATGCTAGTTAATAATAGTAGTTAACTTCATTTAATTTTTTTAATCTCATTTAAAAATGAACTTCCTTCTTTAAATTGTCTTTCATGATATTTATTCTCGAGAAAAAAAAAATGATACTAAATTTTCCTAATTTTATAAAATAACTCTTTGACTTTTACATTAACATTAAATGTTATTAGTGATAGAAGTGAAGATCAATTTCTTTCTACCTTCCTCACGCTAAATTTTAATTTTAACCATAGGTCTTGCATTAATCTTTTCCTTCCTTCATTGTTATTTCAAACTTGAACTTCATAAAAAATTAAATCACAGCAGATTGCCTCCAAAATTTTGCTTAAACTTATTAGCACGACGAGCATAAAGGCACAATAATTCTTTAAATTGAAGTTTGAAGTCTGACTTTTGCTTAAAACTTGCAAGATATAGTGAGAGTTGGATGTTTGAGTATTTCTTTCTTTTTTCTTTCCTTCTTTTTTTCTATTTACTGTGTATGAACTTCTTGAACATGCTTTTAGATATTGATTTGAACGTCCCTTGCAAAAATTTTTATGTCATTGACAGTGCATTATCATTGATTCTTTACTATAACCTCATCATTGTGGTGAGAGATTACTTCACCTGCAAACAAGCCATCTTGAACGTGGTTAGCCTCCTCATTCTTATCTAGTGAGTCTTCAATAATGAGAAGCGACACATCCTCAAACTCAATTGAATCTTTATGCTCTATCTCTGCATCATTCTCTAGTGAATCCTCAACTACCATAGTATCATCATAGTCATTATCGATGTCAAACTCAAACAAGAGAATGTCCATATTTTGGGTATAGATGAAGCGAGAAGATGAAGTGTGGAAGAGAAAAAACAAACCTTTTATTTTATATAAATGATGGTCATGGTTTATGGATGAAACCATTCAGCATCTCAATGGAAGAATTCAATTCTATGAGAACTTGTTTCAAATGGGATTACTATTTCTCCTTTTTAAAAGTCTCACAAGAATAAAATGAATAATTGAAAATAAAATTTGAATTAAGCAGACAATATTTTATGGATGCTTTCATTAAATAAGATCAAATCAGTTATGATTTGCTTATATTTTGGACCATCACACATAAATTCAAATTTGCTTATACTCGAGTTTGGAAGGAATATAATAATAGTAATAATAATTACTTTGACAATAAATGGTGATTGTGATTTTAGTAGGCACAACTATGAAGGTAAAGTGACAGTAGTATAATTGTAGTAATGCTAGATGGTTAAAGTAGCAGCAATTTCAGTAATGGTGAGACACTAATAGAGATGGTAGTAGGTAGTTAAAGTAGCCAAAGGATAATATTAAATATGATGATCAATGGTAGCGACTAAGTTGATAACAACAAATAAAGATAATGATAATTAATAATGGTGCTAATTTTGGTTGTAGTAACGATAGTAATGAAAGTGATATCGAGTTAGAGTGGTTGGTGATGAGTGATAATAATGATAAGAGTAAAATACATATATTTAAAAAAGATAAAGTAATTGAATGAGTTGTTTTTATAATTAAAAACCAAAAAATCAAAATAATATATTTTTTTGTTTTAAGACTAGAATTGAAATTATTTTAAAATTAATTATAAATCAATTTAACTTCACCGTATGTTCTGTATTAAAAATAGCATTTAAAAATAAAAAAATAACTTACAACCACCCTAAATATTTTTCTATTTACATCTTTAAGTTTAAGAAATGTTTTTAATTTTTATTTTACATTTTCACTAATAAACATATTTTAAATTGTAAACTAAAAATAAGTTTGGATACATTATTTATTTAAGTACTTATTTAATATTTTTTAAATGATAATTTATTCTATTTCAAAAAAAAATGAAGAATCTGTAGAAAATATTTTTAGTTTATGTTAATAATTTTTTTAGAATAACTTATCAAAATAAGATATTTTTAATTTATTTTAATATTTTTTTATTAAACTTATAACGAAAGTCATCATTATAGAAATAACTTATTGAATAAATAATAAAATAAGCAGTTATAAAAATACACTCATTTAAATATAAAATTTATTAAAATAAAATAAAAATAACTTATTTTGATAAACTATATTAAAAATTTATTACAATTAAATTAAAATACTTTATGAGAATTACAGTTTAATTTTCATAAGATCTTCGTAAGCTTATGCTAGCTAGTCACTAATGTAGACAATCTAAGAAGTTGAAGGAGCAAACAATTAGCAAAAGAACCAGTTGATGAAATTGGATATGAACTGGTGTCAGTGAACTGGTTTGAACTGTTTTTATTTTTTATTTTTATATTTTCTAAAGTCTAAAACACTTTCAAACTAAATAAAGGTACTATATGAGATATACATGACTTGATATTATCAAACTATTTATTATGATTTTTTAATTTACAAAAACATGTAATATATTCTTTTTTACATTGATTAAAATTTTTACTTAATTTAATTTTTCTTATAATTTTATATTACCTTGCTATTTAATATATTTATATTATTAAAAATGTATATTTAGTTATAATAGTTCCATCCTAATTTGACCACAATCAAGCTAAATTGTAAACCTAGTTCAATCGTTGATTAGTTTAAAAATATTGCTAATAATACCAATGGAGATAAGCAACTTAATATTGTTTAGGTAAAGTCTCAAGTAAATTATCAATGAAGATTGGTCTGAGTAACAAACGACTTAATATCGTTTAAGTAAAGTCTCCAATTGTTATTTTGTTAGTGAATGTATTTTTTAAGTCACTCTTATGAATATATAAAGATAAATATTATCTTCTTAGAAACATTTATGAGTTCCAGTGGAGAGACAAGGGATATTGCTTGATAATGTTCATAATGAATTACATAAAATGTGCTGTGAGAATTTATGTAAGTTTCACATTTTAATAAATTCTTATTATGCTATTTTATTTATGAAATTTTAGTTTTTTTTATTAGAATTGTATTTTATCTATTGAATTAGTTAAATTTTTATTTTATTTTATTATAAGAAGTAATGACTAATATAACCTAATTAAAATATGTGAACTTCTGAATAAAAGTTTATTGAAACGAATAAATAATGAGTGAATTTTGAATATGATTTTAAATTTTAAATTTAAATTTTAAATATGAATTTTGAATTTAGATTTGAAATTTTGAAACTGAATTTTGAATTTTTATCCTTTTTATCTTTAGTTACTTAAAATCAGTCCAAAAGTCGATACTAATATTTTCCATGACTAAAATAGTAAAAAATATGTCTAATGTGGATCTCTTGCACCCACCGGTCACCAGAGCTGTGCAAGAGGAGCATCCACTATGTAGTCCGTGCAATACAATACTTAAAATGTTGTGTTGACAGTTAATTGTATGCACATAGCTTCGTTTTATTTAAGATACAGAAGTTATAGAAAACCATTGGTTCTTTGAGATACATAGCTTCGTTTTATTTAACCAAAGTCTAGTTTTTCTTACACCAATTTACTTTGCTTGTAAAGGAAGAAACGAAGTAAAGAGAAAACACAGAGTGGCCTCTAAGTTGTTGAATTCACTGTCATTAAAGACAAAAGAAAATGATGTACTATGACTTCAATGATCTTTCTTTTCCCTATTTCTCCAGAAAGGGAGATCTTTACAAGTTCAGAAGATGCCTATTGTATACAAAATGTGTCAACTAATCTATGTCAGTCTGTTATAGTGTAAGATTCAGTGTCCATTGAAGCAAGAAGTTATATGTAAGAAGACATCTTCGCTGCAAGGAATTGTGAGGCCACCCATGGGATGATCATATCCAAATTCTTCCTCTGCTTGACTCAACAAGTCTTGGAACCAAGGTTGGCTCAAGTATGATATAGGGATCACAAACCGCTTCATTTTCTCTCCAACGTATACAGCAAGATAACCTCTTGGTGCATCCATTGCTTTTGAAGACACCCTTCTCCTACCAGGTAAACGGAAACCCATTGTTGTAGTAACTGTGTTTGAGACTTGAGGGAAGAGAATGGCCTAAGAAGACTTGAAATTAAGCTTTGGAGTTTCAAATGCTTCAAGATGTGAATGATTTGTGTTGGTCCTAGATGCTTGCAGCCTTGAATATATATAGATAAAATAAATGGATATGTCAGAAACCATTGGCTACTTGAATTATTGAGGAAGGAAGGATATGAGATAAGATCTATGGGACCAAATGAGAGACAAAGCATATGGTGTTGTCTCAGAGGACTCTCTCAAGATTCAACCTAACATATTATAGTAGATAACACAAGTCCCACCTTATGGAACAGATTACCCCACACGAAAAAAGACAGGCGTATCTAAGAAGAAAGAAAGTCTAATTGGATCATCTTCACATTTATCTGTGACTGCAAACTTCATTTATGCAAATTTTTTCAAGCTGTATATATTGCTGAGCATTTGAAATACAAGAAGTAATGTGGTCCATAATGCCTCGTGATCATGTATTCAATGTCGGTTCTCTTCTGATCTCCAGTCACTATTCATTAAACAAGTTTGCTCAAGCCTCAAGGGTTACATCATACATGGTTCTTATCAACAATGGTTGTCACTCTAGTATTAGTTGGTACATGGTTGCTATATATTTATAGCATTGTCATGCTCTTTAAAGAAACTTGTGACATGTCTAAAGCATGTTTCTAATTGAAGTAGCTACAACTCAAAGAATGAACAAGCATAAGGTTTCGCATTAACTGTTGTATTTGATTTGAAATGGATAAATCTGTGGTCATTGCCACAGAAGGTGGAGTATGGTATGCAATCTCATTTATCCTATCCTTGAAAGAGATCACTGAGACAATACCATGTGATCCTTATCTTCCAGTAGATCCTATCTTAGCCCCATAAAAAATCATTCAATGTGGAATTAGATTGCAGTTGCAGAGGACCCTTAGCAGCTATATATACACTGCTTCTTGGGTTGTCCAGCAACACAAGTCATTTGCGTCCTCAAGCCTTAGAATTCAAATATTACTTTCTCATACAAATTCCTTGACATAAATCATTAATACTTGTTTGTGTAGCAACAAAAACAAATGGGTTTTCGCATACCAAGTATTATTAGAAGAGCATCATTTTCTTCAGCCCCTGCAGCTTCAAGGGGAACTGAAGTCCCAAAAGGCTATCTTGCAGTCTATGTTGGAGATGAAATGAAACGGTTTGTGATTCAAGTATCGCTTTTGAACCAACCTTTATTTCAAGAATTACTGAGTGAAGTAGAAGAAGAATTTGGATATGATCATCCAACAGGTGGTCTCACAATTCCATGCAAGGAGGATGAGTTCCTACGCCTCATTTCTCGCTTGAATCAGCTGTAAATCATGCTAATGAAGACCAATAGATTAGTGGAGGCAAATTTGTACAGAAGGAGCTTTCTTTTGATGTGAAGATTTTCCAATTTTTTCCCTGTATAATTCTTTTGAAGTTCAAATATTACCTGAATGAGAATGTTAAGACAAGATATTGCCAAAAATATTTTTCCCTTTTGTCAAATCTCAGTGAATTCTAGTATATATAAATACAACAATATTATTATTAAATTTCAGTTGATATATGTCAACCTATTTTTTTTTTATAGGGATTAAGAGTACTAATCCCTTTGGTCTATTGTCGGTGGGGGTTATTGGTGTCCTATGGCATTCAATGCTTGTGTTTGACCTGAACATGGAACAAACAACACATTGGTCTTGAAAGTGATTTAGCCACTTGTTATATTATTTTTCATAATATGTGGTTCATTCAGTTTCAGAATAATTATCTTGAGATAATGTGGTGCATCTTCCTATTCTATCATCGCTTGAAAAACGGAAAATTATTTCCAATTGCTAGAGTCATCGATTCTTTGTGTTTCCTTATCAAGCAGCACCATCACATGGACTATTAGTTTTTTCTTGATAAGTGAATTATCACAATTAATGCAATGCCTTGAATTTCCCAACAGTAATAGAAGCTATTGCTTATTTGGTGTGAAAAGAAATTAACTAACAGTTGTTCCGTTTTGTGAAAAATATGAGTAAGAATATTAAAGGAAGTATTGAAATTCTATATTATCTTCTCACAGAGACCCCGCAATGTTCACTAAGATTATTAACCTTTTATTATTTAGGTGAATTAAAATTGATGGACTGTTAACAATAAGTGCAAAGAAAATAAAAGAATCATAAATTAGACAAAGAGGAAAAAGAAAGACAACAAACAAAAAATTTAAAGCAATTAAGTAACAACAATGATGTTTGGTTATGAAGCAAAATAGGACGTTTGAATTCACCTATGTTGTTTACCAAATTTTTTATCCCATTCCTTTTATGATTTATGTTTTTATCTATGGCTAAGCACTTATTCTAAATAGATCAATCAATATCCAATTATTATGCAATACCGACAAACTGTTTTGTAACTTCTAACACCAATGAATGATGCAACATATAAATTTTGAGAAGCATTACAATTTAAGAAGTTTTCTAATTCAATAATTGATTGATAATTTAGGATTAAAATTAATTTTATATAATCGTAAATTCAATTCACGGTTTAGTTCTGGAAATTGGTAATGGTTCAATTGCCTGTTACGGAACTAACTTAGACAATAACAAGATTGATTGAATCTTGATAACAATTGAAACAGCAAAACGAATCTCATAATAGAAATATAAATTCATTAAAAGAAAAAAGAATTAGACTAAGGTTCACAACATAACATTCTCCATATTTTTACTTGTGGATTTAATTACACAGATATTCAAAACCAAAATAAGAACAAACCCATTCATAGTTCAAAATCAAAACAAAACAAATTAAAATAGACAAACGACTCTTTTCTGTTATCTTCGCCAACTCTTTCTATTTCAAATAATTGAATTTCTCAATCCAAAACAAATTAAAATAGATAAACAATTAATAAATTCTTTTCAAGATTATATAAATCTGCTCACAATATTTATTTTAAATGAGGTTATAAATCTTCAATTCTTCTTTCACTTTTTATTTAAATATTTTTAGAGAGTATACAAACTTTCTACAAAATAATTTTTCAACACATTTTCAGTTCCAAATGACTTTATTCATAATTTAAAGGAAATAAGATTTTCAGATTGTTTAACATAAGTGTACCAAAGAAATTGATCTTATGCTCAAAATGGACAAATGAGAAATATATGTATAATTAATTTGATGATAGTAACATATAATAGTAGTGGTAATTACGGGGATATCAATAGTGTTTTCAATAATAATGAATGTTACGATAATGCAATATATGATATGGGTGGTGAATAGTTGTTTGAAGTAGTGACCAAGTGATGATATCAAAGAAGATGTATGACAACAATGAATGATTCGATGAAGATACTAGATAATCAGAGTGAGTGATAAAAAAAAAAAAAACTGAAGATAATATCTATAGTAATAGCAATTATGATAACGATGACAATAAATGATAGTAGTAACTGTGGTTACAATTGTGAAGGTAGTAGTAGATGCAACTAAAAATAATAGATAATTAGAGTGATTAAAGATTAAAAAAAAAAACACTAAAAATAGTAGCTATGATGATGATAATAATAATAATAGTGATAATCAATATAGAAATAGTAATTGTGATGTTAAAGTTGTAGTAGTAAATGCGATAATAGTGCAATAGTGGTCATAGTAAGCGGTTACAATAGCAGTGATCTATGGTAGTAGTGATGACACTAATAGAGATAGTGATAAGTAATTTAGGTGATTAAAAAATAACATTAAATGTACTAATAATAATAATAATAATAATAGCAAAAATTAATAGTATAGTTGATTGTAACATGACAATAGTAAAAATGGTCATGATGGTAATTGTGGTAAAGGTAACAACTATAGAGGGTGATACTAAGATAGCAAGAGTACCATGTAGGTATTTTGAGAAAGACAAAGAGATTAAACAAGTTATTTTGATAATAAAAATTATATAAATAAAATTTAAAAAATAGTTTTGTATTTAAATTAAAAATGAATTTAACTCTATTTTAGTTAAATGCCTTTTGATTTGAAACTTTATGTGAAAATAAAAAATGAAAATTGGCCCCCACCCCTATCATAAAAACTAATTCTTGTTAGATTTTTAATTAGAATAATAAAAAAATATAATAATACCTATCCATCCATGTGAAATACAATATTTATTCACCATTATTTACATTATTTACATGATTAATAGTACGTTTGCTAAAAGATTAACAGTGAGCTATCAATAGCAACAATCAATAATAATAATTTGGCACTAATAGAGATAGTGATAAGGGATTTAGGTGACGAAGGAATAATTTTAAATGTGATGATAAATATTATAGTGATAATAAAATGATAATTAATAATATTATTGTTTATAGCAATGATATTAGTAAAAATAATCTTGCAATGGTAACGATAGTAATGGTAACAACTATCACCAGGAGTGATAATAAAAACAATAATAGTGAAGGGTAATATTAAAATAGGAAGAGTATTAGGTATTTTGAGAAAAACAAAGAGATTAAACAAGTTATTTCTACTTAAAAATAAAAAATATATAAAAAATTCAAAAAAAAAATTGAGTTAAAATAGTTTTGAATTTGATTTAAAAATCAATTTAACTCTATTTTATTTGAAAATAGAAAATGAAAACTTGCCACCACCCCTAAATGTTTTCATTTATATCATTCAGTTTAAGAAAAATATTTAAAATTTTTAATTAATAGTTTCACTAATAATCCTATTTTGAAGACTGGACTAAACTAGTTAGTTTGACTAGGAGCAAGCTAGTCACCAGCCGAGACAATCCAGGAAATTAATGGAGCAAAAAACTAATTAAGAACCGGCTAAAGCAGATGAAATCGGATATGAATCAATGTCCGTGAACTGGTTTGAACCATTTTTTTTTCAAATTATTAATTCTAATACACTTTTCAAAAGAAATGAAAGTTCATACATGACATATACATATGAATTGGTATTATCCAACTATTTATTATAAATTGGAAAATTCATACAGCGGTCTGTATAGCAAATATAAAGACAATTTCTTGTTTTTTATGTTTTAAATGAAAATCATTTGAAACAAAAGTTAAATAAAATAATGTTCGACCATATCCAGCTCTTCAATTTTAAATTTCAAGTTTCCAACCCTACTTGATCTCATTGAAGAGAATATGCATGTATAACATACTGTGGCTGTCTATATAAAGTTTGGGTAGAAAAAGTGCATAAACATATTCATAGAAATTTGACCAAAAAAACAACCTAATATCTAGGTTAATAACTCTCAGTTAAATAGAATTTTGCACTCACAAAAGAAGGATAAAATTGTCTTCTACTTAGAGTGGCAAATGCCCCGAGATCAATACCAAATGCAAGGGCAATATAAGTAATTAAGAGTATTTGAATTCTTATTTCGTTAGTGACTTTATTGTTTGAGAATGCCATAAACATTATGAGTATATAAAAATAGGTATTATCTTGGTGGAAACAGTTCTCTAATGAACTGAATGATAGATGGGGTGTTTAATATGATGATGGGTGCTAGTGAGAGACAAGAGCTAGAGAGATGTCGCATAATGATGTTGATTGATTAAGGATTTCTTAAGATGTGAGAATTTACTGCCAATAAGCTAATAATTCCATAACCAATAAAGTGGCCTTCTTAAGAACTTCTGTTCCAGATAGGCTCAAAATATATTGATAAACTACCAGTTCTTGAAATCTGGTATGTACAGTTGTACACCATGATATCTAGCTGATAGCTATTTAAATAAACAAAAAACGAAATTCTTGGCAAGGGAAGACCACATTTTGTTTAGACATTATTAAATATCAAACCTTAGGAACCATCTTAATTATTTCAACAATATTTTATTAAAAAATATTTACTATTTTTTATATGTTTGATATGATAAATATATTTTTTAAATAAAAAATTTATAATTTTTAGTTACTTAAAATCAGTTAAAAGGTCGATGTTAATGTTTTACATGATGAAAATTGTAAAAAAATGTCTACTGTGGAATGGTTGTGTGGATTTGTTGCACCCACCGGTCACAAAAGCAGTGCAAGAGCAGCATCCATTAAATAGTCCATGCAAGCCAAGATTTAAAATGTTGTTTATACATTTAATTGTAACTAAAAGATATCAAATTTAAATTGGAAGCTTTATTAAAATGCTCAGTTACTCTGACCAGGTGCTCCAGCGATAGAACCAAGCCAAAGTTTATGATCTTTGCCAATAATTTCACAACAATAACAGAAGATATTGACAGTTTTCATAGATAGAAAACAAGAATTCCGATCCACAGGAAGTGTTTCGGCAAAAGCAAAGTGTTTCGGCAATATCTTGTCTTAATATTCTCATTCAGGTAAAAAAAAAATTGAACTTCTACAAGATTATACAGGGACAAAAATTGCAAAATCTTCACATCAAAAGAAAGTTCCTTCTGTACAAATTTGCCTCCACTAATCTATTGGTCTTCATTAGCATGATTTACAGCTTATTCAAACGAGAAATGAGGCTTAGGAACTCATCCTCCTTGCATGGAATTGTGAGACCACCTGTTGGATGATCATATCCAAATTCTTCTTCTACTTCACTCAGTAATTCTTGAAATAAAGGTTGGTTCAAAAGCGATACTTGAACCACAAACCGTTTCATTTCATCTCCAACATAGACTGCAAGATAGCCTTTTGGGACTTCAGTTCCCCTTGAAGCTGCAGGGGCTGAAGAAAATGATGCTCTTCTAATAATACTTGGTATGCGAAAACCCATTTGTTTTTGTTGCTACACAAACAAGTATTAATGATTTATGTCAAGGAATTTGTATGAGAAACAAATATTTGTATTCTAAGGCTTGAGGATGCAAATGACTTGTGTTGCTGGACAACCCAAGAAGCAGTGTATATATAGCTGCTAAGGGTCCTCTACAACTGCAATCTAATTCCACATTGAATGATTTTTTATGGGGCTAAGATAGGATCTACTGGAAGACAAGGATCACATGGTATTGTCTCAGTGATCTCTTTCAAGGATAGGATAAATGAGAGTGCATACCATACCCCACCTTCTGTGGCAATGACCACGGATTTATCCATTTGAAATCAAATACATCAGTTAATGCGAAACCTTATGCTTGTTCATTCGTTGAGTTGTAGCTACTTCAATTAGGAACATGCTTTAGACATGTCACAAGTTTCTTTAAAGAGGATGACAATGCTATAAATATATAGCAACCATGTACCAACTAATATTAGAGTGACAACCATTGTTGATAAGAACCATGTATGATGTAACCCTTGAGGCTTGAGCAAACTTGATTAATGAATAGTGACTGGAGATCAGAAGAGAACCGACATTGAATACATGATCACGAGGCATTATGGACCACATTACTTTTTGTATGTCAAATGCTCAGCAATGTATACAGCTTGAAATTTGAATAATTGAAGTTTGCAGTCACAGATAAATTTCAAGATGATCCAATTAGACTTTCTTTCTTCTTAGATACGCCTGTCTTATTTCAAGTGGGGTAATCTGTTCCGTAAGGTTTGACTTGTATTATCTACTATAATATGTTAGGCTCAATCTTGATAGTCCTCTGAGACAACACCATATGCTTTGTCTCTCATTTGGTCCCATAGATCTTATCTCATATCCTTCCTTCCTCAATAATTCAACTAGCCAATGGTTTCTTACATATCCTTTTATTTTATCTATATATATTCAAGGCTGCAAGCATCTAGGACCAGCACAAATCATTCACATCTTGAAGCATTTGAAACTCCAAAGCTAAATTTCAACTCTTCTTAGGCCATTCTCTTCTCTCAAGTCCCAAACACAATTACTACAACAATGGGTTTCCGTTTACCTGGTATGAGAAGGGTGTCTTCAAAAGCAATGGATGCACCAAAAGGTTATCTTGCTGTATACGTTGGAGAGAAAATGAAGCGGTTTGTGATCCCTATATCATACTTGAGCCAACCTTGGTTCCAAGACTTGTTGAGTCAAGCTGAGGAAGAATTTGGATATGATCATCCCATGGGTGGCCTCACAATTCCTTGCAGCGAAGATGTCTTCCTGCATATAACCTCTTGCTTCAATGGACACTGAATCTTACAGTATAACAGACTGACATAGATTAGTTGAGACATTTTGTATACAATTGGCATCATCTCAACGTGTAAAGATCTCCCTTTTTAGAGAAATAGGAAAAAGAATTTTTTTTTCTTTAATGACAATGAATTCAACAACTTAGTGGTCACTCTGTGTTTTCTGTTTATTTCGTTTCTCCATTTACAAGCAAAGTAAATTGGTGTAAGAAAAACTAAACTTTGGTTGTTTTGAGAAATTTCAAAGCAATAATCGAATACATGATTCCTGGCAAGGGTAGAATTAAGTATTTTATCCCATTTTATCCGAGGAACAAAGGGAAAGATAAATTTATTTAGTACAAAACAAAATGATATTGATTAAAAAATATATATACAAAATTAAAATTATAAGGCGAAAAGATCACAATCATACACAAGGCACATCTGATAAGTTCATATTTTGATATATTTTGTGGCTTATATTTATACACTTAAACTCTATTTAATATATATTTACACTAATTATGTTATTAATTATTACAGTTTAGTTGTAGTTGTTATTAGTGCATTATGGAGATATTCTAAATAAAAATTATATATTTTTAGTCCTTTACAGTGCTATGTAAAGTTGAGTTTAAATTTTGAATTTGAAATTTAAACTTATATTTGAAGATTTGGAGCATTTCTAATTGTGGATAAAACTGATTTGAAAAGATAGAGCTCAACCGACTGAAAACTTAGGTCACAGCCTATATAAAGAGGTTTTATGCTTCACATTTGACACTCCCACTTCTCGATACACCTTCTTCCCCTTCTTAGTTCTACCTAAACTCATCTTTGAGAGTCATTGGAGACCATTGGCAAGGATGACAAGCTTCCTCTTGGAGTCCAAGCAAGTGATTGAGCATCCCTTCGGAGAACGAGAACTTTCTTTATCTTCTACCTTTTTGGGTTTCTTTTGTTTGAGTTTTTCTTTGTCGTTATGGGTTTATTTATCATGTTCTTCGTAGTTTATTTTGTTATGAGTAACTAAACTCATAGCTAGAGTTATGACGGATCCTACTACAATGTGATTTTTACTTTAATGTTTCGTTTTATTATATTGGATTATATTGTGTATATTAAGATTTGATCACCCTTAGCATCTCATAGTTAGTTGCATTATAGACGATCGTACCACGTATAATTAACGAAACTGTAGGATAAAATGAGATAAGGGGTTAGGTTAATCACACTTAATTCCTTTCTTTCAGCCATTATTGAATTAACAAACTCATAGAACTTGTTACCCTTTTTTCTAAGAATGGCCTTTGGGATTGGAATAGGATTAAATCTATGCTTCCTGATTCTGTATGTACCTTAATTGTCCAAATTTCTCCCCCTATTCTAGCAAGGGGCAAGATCTATTTTTTTGGAGGAATACTAATAATGGTGTCTTCTCTGTTAAATCTGCTTACAACCTGTTTTCCTATAATGATCAGATCAGTTTTTGGATACTACTTTCTTTAATTTAGTTTGGAGCTAGAATGGCCCCCTACAATTAATATTTTTTGTGTGTGTAGAAAATAGCCCATGGTAGGCTTTTTACCAATGCTAAAAGATTTAATCGTAATTTGTCTCCATCTTCTGTTTGTTTCAAGTGTAATGAGGATGATGAAACTGTTATTCATATTCTCAGATATTGCTAGTTTGCTAGGCAGATCTGGGACCAATTGGTTTCCCCTGATTTTTGGGCCCTTTTTTATTAGAGGGTTGTCTAGTTGGTTATATTTTAATTTAGCCAATTCTAGTTTTTCTCTTATTCTTGATTGGAGGCTTTTATTTGGTTTAGTTGTGTGGAATTTGTGGTTGAATAGGAATAAGGAGATTTTCCAAAACTCTCCTCTGAACTGAGTCTTTTTTTTCATAAAAATCAAAAGTGATTTTGATTATCTCATTTTCTGTGGCAGGTCCAATTTTGCTGAAGGAGCTGTCGAGTTGGAGATTGTTAGCTTCAAAAAATGGCAACCCCCTCTGCAATTTCAATTTAAACTCAATGTGGATGGGGTTGCTTCCCTTGCTACTGATTCTTCTAGCTGTGGAGGGCTAATTAGGGACAGTATAGACAGGTTCATTGTTGGATTTCATAATTCTTTGGATCCATGTTCTCCTTTGATTGCTGAGCTTTGGGAGTTTATTGGAGTGTAAAACTTGCACTTGCCAAAAATATTCAATTAGTTTGGATTGAATGTGATTTTAGGCATGCAATCTCTTTACTTGTTAATATTTAGTGCTGTAATCATCCTTTTTTTCCTATTATTATGGAGATTAGAGATCTATTGAAAGAGATTAAGTTCCAGCATTTTAGCATGTCTTAAGTGAAGCTAATCAAAGTGCTAATTGGTTGGTCAAATTAGGTGCTGAATGTGGATTATTTTATCTTTGTTTTGATGAGGCTTCTCCTTCTCTAATTCCTTTCTTAAATTTGAATTCTCTAGGTTCTTAGATTCCTAGATTTGTGAACTAGTCTTTGTTTTGTCTTTAGGCTTTTAAGCCCCTTTAATAGCAAAAGAAAATAAAATAAAAAATTAGAGTTCTAGTTATTATAATAAAGATAATATTTTTTTTAAACTTTATTATATTATTATTAATATTTTTAATTATCTTTAATGTTCTAATTTTATATAATCTTTGTTACCTCATCACTCAAATAATTAACAATAGGTCGTTCCTGTGTTCTCAACAAAATCAATATAAAGAACAAAGCATGCACATCATCAACATAGGACTCTGATGGATGATCACCAGTTACTATGATTCTGCTAGTGTACATAAAGCATCGACCCAACACCTTGAAATAAAGAACCATGGGAAAGTTTATAAAAGAAATATAACAAAATTAGTGAGAAACTTGCAACTGTGTTTATAAGTTTCTATCTTGGGACATCTTTCCAATTCTTTATGAAGGACAAGAAATAAAGTTAAAATTTACAAATGTTCTACTCTCTCTTCTATACAAAATTGAATTGGTCATTGACCATCTACTTTTCAATCTTCTCCTTTATGACCTTTTCAAGTGAGAAGTGATGCTTAGGAAGTAATCTTCTCTACAAGGGATTGTGAGGCCACCCATTGGATGATCAAAACCAAATTCTTGTTCAACCTCGCTCAGCAAGTTTTGGATTGAAGGTTGTTTCAAATATGATATAGGAATCACAAACCGCTTCTTTTGGTGTACTCCTACATAAACTGCAAGATAGCCTTTTGGGACATCATTGCGCCTTTGAAAACCGGGCAAACGAAAACCCATTGAAGATTAAGAGAATGATTTGAGAAAGACTTGTATAAGAAGTGCTTAGTGCTTCAAGAATGCAAAGGATTTGAATTGTTTGTAGATGCAACCATATGACCATATATATCTATATATAGACCAAGATAAGGATTTTAGAAAACTATTAGGTATGAAAATGATTGATGAAGATTGAAGACTAATCCAAATGGAGTCTAATGGAACATGGGCAAGAAGGATCACATGGTACTGTCTAGAATGTATTTTATCAAAGATGTTAAATGAAGTTGAATGTCCCAAATTTTTTAAGGACATTCTAGACAGTACCCACTTGATGATTCAGAAAAAGAGAGACATGTAAAATCAAAGCCTAATGTTTGATAATAATAAAAGCTGACTATAGTGTTCAAGACATAGACGCCATGTTGATGTTTGGCACATAGTGATCAAGTAAATAATACCATGTACCAGAAACATTTAGATAAGGTATTAAGTGTTGGCATGCATGTACTTGCAATTTTCCTTTTACAAAATTAAAAAATATTGAGAATTGAAACAATAATACAGGGAAAATTTGTTCCTCTACCTTACATGTAGAAATGTCAACTGTTAAGTGGTTGAGAAAAATCATGGTCACTGTAAAATGCCAAGTATAGCATGGACATTAAGGCCTATCATGCATGTCTGCTACGGTGATTACTACCAAATGAGAAGCATATAATAAATTGAGAAAGATTCCAATTAACAAGAGGATTTTATTAAACAGGTTAGCTTTATTTAATTTGTAGCAGAAAGTTCACGTCTCTGTGTTAGACGAATTTGATTGATAGAAATGAGTCAGAGGGACTAAGATCTTCTCATATATACAATTAAGTTTAGAAATTAATCTTTTTTCTTAATTTCAAGAAATAAATTGATAAGTGCCTATAATTTTAAGGGTTAAAATAATTAATTTTTTTGAGGGATTGAAAATTCTATTTCATAATTTTAAGGACTAATTTAAATGGTGTGTATAATTTTAGGGACTAAATTGAATTAAGTCCATAATTTTAATAACTAAAATGAATTTTTCTTTTTATATAATTTAAAGAACTAAAAATTCTTTTTTTCATAATTTTAAGAATTAAATTAACATATATATATATATATATATATGTAATTTTAGGAAATAAAATCATTAATTTTATAATTTTAAGAACTAAATTAAAAGATATCCCTATAATTTTAGAGACTAAAATGATGTATTACTCAAAAATAAAGCTTATATATATATATATATATATATATATATATAAACATTTACAGGTGCTGCAATTAATAAAAATGAAGTGGTGTAAATTGAAAGCAAAATTTTGTTTCATTTATCTTTACACGATTTTTTAGGATAATGAGTGAAATAACAAAAATAAAAAAATGTAAATAAAATAGAAATAGAGTAAATAAAGATTAATATAAATAAAAAAGAAAATAGTAAAAAAATTGAAAAGAAAATAAAGTAAAAAATAAAAGAATAATTAAAATCTTTTTAAACTAATTTAAAAAATAAGATTAATCATAGTATTTTATTAATATAAAAAAATAATTTTATTTTTAAACAGTTAAAGCCAAAATAAAAATTAATATCCCTTTTCAAGCTTCCACCATCCATTAACAGTTGTTGGGGGATATTTTAGTGCTTGTAAGCCATACTATTTTTTTTTTCTTCTGTATTTAGACTCATTTAAATAATGTGATTTTCAAATTTTAGTTTCTGAATATGTATTTGATATCTTTTGTAGATTTATGGATCACTTTTGAAAAATAAATTTTGAAAGTGATTTTATACATTCTAAAAACTAAATTCTGGAAGTTATTTGCAAATTACTTTCTGAAAATCATTTGCAAATAACTTCTAAAATTTAGTTTTAGGGAGGTATTAAATGCACTAATAGAATCTAAATTTCAGACGTCACAATAAAAAAAAATAGTATAAATAAAGACAACAAAAAATATTGCAAAAAGCAATTCTCAGCTTTAATATTTCAGACGTTGAATTTTATGAATGGACTGAATCCAAATCTTAAACCGTAGGGAGAGTAGTTGTTCTTGATATGATGTTGGGCTTGAGGTATAACTTAGCCCAAAAGAGATTACTTTTTTTACTGTAATTTAATTTTTGAAAGTGTTTATTTTATACTTTCCAAAAATTAAATTTTAAAATAACTTTCATACTTAAGTAAATTCTAAAAGTCATTTGCACAATGATATTTAAATTCAGTATCATATTATTGTTCATAGTTTTGATTTTTTGCACAACCATGTTCTTATAGTATATATTTTTTATTTCAGATTTTCATTTTACATTCTTGTTGGATGCTTTTATCTTTAGAAATAGAGTAATATGTTTCTTGCATTCTTGGGCTAATAGGTTGATGGCATGTTTATAAGTATTGTTTGAAAATAGGTATGTTAACAAATTTTTCAATAGGTCAAGCTTTTATACAAGCTTAATTAGGGTTTATAAGAAGCTTATAAAAATTGAGTTAAAGTCAAGCTTTCTAATTTTGAATCAAGTTAAGTTTGGACCTAACTTATTTCTATGCCTAATTAAAGAATTAATGATACAAAAAAATCTGCAATCTAAAGCCTAATGTCCAAAGATAAAAATAACAAAAAGAAAATTTTAAAAAAAATTGATAAGGAAAGGAAAAAGAAAAGATAAAAAATCTTTTAAAATCGTACATAATATATCATTTTGATACTTTTCATAGAATCATGGGGAAAAAATTCTTTTGAAAGAAACAGAAAATCCAAATATCCTAGTGATTCAAGGTAAAATACTTAGTTAAAATACTTATTTAATTAACTTAATAAATTAATATTTATTTTTATTTTATGTTTTTTAAAATAATTAAATATAGCAAATAAAAATATAAATAAAATTTCTACTACCTTATAAATTTTGAAATGAAACTTTTAACTTTTAAAAATTAACTTACAAAATATTACTTGCATTCAACTAAGTCATAACATTTTAAATAAACTTAATACTTTTTTTAATCATTTAACAGAGTTTAACTTGTTTTACTACTACTTTTTATCAAATTACAACAGTTAGTCTATCAATAAGTTATAACTTATAAATTTTTTGGGTTAGTTTATTAATTAGTTTTACCAAATAGAGTATAAGAAAGAATATTTACAGCTTTATAAAGTTAACCTATAACTTTTGAAAGAAAATTATTAAAAAATAGTTTTTAATATATATTTTTATTTTTACCCTTAAAGTATTAAATAATTTACACTCACACTAATTAACTAATTATATAATTAATTTTATGAAAAAATTTCAATTAGTTATCGATGATAATTTTTAATTATTAAATTTTTATTAACTTATCAATTATAAGTTATATATTATAAACTTATCAATTAATTTTATAAAAAAAGTCAAAGTAGTTGGCATGGACTCCACGCCGAGATCAACATGTTACAGCTCATTCTTTGGCATGTTAAGTTTTCCAATACGACGGCATTGTGATGATCAAGTTTAAGAAATTAGTGAACAGAAATTATGGTTACATTGCTTAACAGTTAATACTAGCTAACCATTAATAGTTAATTTGATCATTAGATTAGAAGAAACATGTTTTTTTCTGTCTATTAATAATTAATCAACTTAATAAAAAGTAAGATATTATTTTAAAAAATATAAAAAAGTTTTAAGATTAATTATCAAAACAACCGATCTAAATTATTTTTTTTGAATGTATTATCTATGTCAGTTTAAATTTAAACTTTAAATTGATATAAAAATATTATATCAGTTTAAATTTAAACTGATGTAAAATCTAATATTTTTTAAAAGGATTATTTTTTAATAATAAAAAAATATATCAATGAAATTTTAATTAATATTAAAGCAGCACTTGTAATACACTTATTTTTTTACAAAAAATTATAAAACATAAAAATCTACAAAACACTAAGAAATAGACAAAAGAGAGGAGACAAAATATTAAAATTTTAGAAAAAAATTTGGTCCAAATCCCCTTAGTTAAATAGATTTCAGAAAACATATATAAAATACATATATAATTTGCATAGATAAAACTTTTATGTATAAAGTTATACTCCTCTAAATGCATAATTTATTAAAGTTATACTCCTCTAAATGTAGAAAATATTTTTTATGTTGACTTTTTCATAATTAATATAAAAAAATATAATTTTCTAATTCGTTTATTTTTTAAATTGGTTTAGAATATCACTTTTTAAATCAATTTATTTATAACTAATATAAAAATAATTTAAAATATAAGATTTTCACATCAGTAAAATAACAAATATTAAAGATGATAAACACAAATTTACTTACATTCTTTAATTTTATTTTATATTTTTTTTTCATTTATACATAAACACATTTAAATATGTTAATGATGAATTTTGTTTTATTTTATATTTTTTTATTAACTCATTTATTTTGATATACAATATTAATAAAAATTGTGATTTATTTATTTACAGATTAAATAAAAATATTGATTAACGTTGCAATTTTTTTCATTTGAAATCTGGTGCGGCAATTTTTCCTCTTTAATTTCTCAATTAAATACTTAGTTTTGATCTCTAAAACTGTCAAAGGAAAATGCGCAGTATGTTCATCTTTAGCACATGAAGAAAAACACTTTTAACTTTAATATTAAATATGATTAGAATTAAATTTATTTTATGTGTGTTTTAAGTATATTTTAATTAACCAAGTACCTGAGCATGACTAGGCGCTGCACCATCTCATCCAACGTCTCCGTCAAGCACATTCCGATCGTCAACCTACGGTACAGTTCGAACGTCGCCATTATAGCTTGCGGAACGCGATGAATCAAGTGGCGACGTTAGGGAGTTCAGAGGGTCTCTCTCTTTCTTTGTTTCTTCTTCTTCTGCTGGTGTTTTTCAGTTAATGTTTGGGTTTGACTCGATAGCGTTTGGGAGCAGAGTAATTCGAGACATTTTATAATTTTACTATTACGCAAATGAGGAGTTGTTAATTCGTACTCAAAATTTTATTTCACCAAAGAAATTCGTCATTTTCAACTTCATTTATCTATTGAGGTAGAAGGATTATAAGTACTAATATATGTGAGTTTTTAACGCTTCACAAGGCAAACTCAGTGTGCCGCTCTTTAAATCCATCTCCTTTGTCGAATCATCATCTATTGACTTTCTCGATCTCATTAGTTTCTCACGCACAATGGTAGTGACAAAAGCATGAGGTGGAGCATCATTGATATGGTGTCTTGTAATTGATCAGCGTACAGGATTGAAATTCAACGATATGCAACATAGATCTGATTAAAGACAACAACATTGATTTAGGGAGAAAAACTGAAGAATTTAATGGTGGAACAGAAGTCTAGAGGAGGGGGTAAATTTGGTAGGCATCTTGGGAAAGTTCTCAATAATTCTACGTCTTACTTTTTTACAAATTTTCCACTTGTTACTGGTGTTTCGACCTTGTGGCGAGTGTTTTAACGGTGGGAGAAGATGGTTGATGTTTTCATACCACAAAAGAGTGACAAACTAGGACATCGCTTTGGTTTTGTGCGCTTTGTGGATGTGGCGGATGCCAAGAGTTTGGAGACTAAGCTTAGATCCATTGTTATTGGAAGGATGCACTTGTCTATCAACTTAACGAGGCATGTAAGGGAGAAAACTGTGGGTCCGATGGTGTCTGCGGAGGGTGATGAAACAAGACACTCCTTTGTCACTAAGGCTACAAAGACATAAGGTAATATGTATGCGGACAAGCTTAAAGCACCTCGTCTAGATGGGACATACACAGGACAGAAGTGGGTAGAAAAGAAGAAACCTTGGGCTCACCTTGAGTTTGAGGTAGATGAGGGGCGGATTGAGGAGTGTAGAGGTGCTCTGATTGGATGCCTTCATAGAAAACAGAATTTGAAAAGTATATGATGGGCTCTCCTGCGGGAAGGTATGTTAGATATTAATCTCACGACCATGGGTGATGACATAGTGTTGGTCGAATCTAATGCGGGAGTAGATTTAGAGGATACAGTATTGCTTAACAAATTACGGTGGGAGAAATGGTTCTATGACCTATGAGAGTGGCACCCAAGTATGGTGGCTGTGCGAAGGGTGACTTGGATACGTTGTTATGGGGTCTCTTTGCATGCTTGGGGTGAATTATTATTTCGTAAGTTAGTTTTTTCGCTTGGTGATTTGTTCAGATAGACCAAGTCACGGCAGAAAGACGACGATTGGATTATGGGAGGATACAATCAGGTATTACCATTACTGAGCTTATTAAGCAAAACATTATAGTGAAAGTCAATGATCGTTTTTACTCAATAGTCATGCTTGAAGAGCATGCCAGTGATGTTGTAGCCGCAATAGAGAAAGGCGTGGCTAACTCTTCTGAGGACAGCAATGACTTATCTGAGGTTGGTTCAATGGAGTTGGAAGCCTTGGATAACTATTCGAGTAAGGAAAGTGTGTTGCATGGTAATATTGAAGGTAAGGATTGTTTGGTTGACTCTGTGATTAGAAGTGAAGTGTCAGTCTCAGTAAAAGGGTGTTTGGTGGATGAGGGTTTGGGGGCTGGTGGTACAGATGATACTGGTCTGGCATTGATTATTTGTGATGCTGTGAATGAGCCTTCAGAAAATGTGGAGAGGGGAGGCCCAATAGCAAGGCCTTGTCCGTTGCAAGAGGTGGGTAGAGATGGGTTGAATCTATCAGACCCGTTTGGATTAGACGCATTGATTTGGAAAAATCCAGAATCAAGGAGTAAGGAGACAATTGTGACAGCACAAATAGACCACTTTCAATCCAAAGCTTGTATTGAAAAAGAGAGGGTGAATGTGCGTGAATCCTTTCGAAGGACACACTCTGTGAAAGGTAGTCGAGGTGATGAAGGAGAAAACAGACATAAGAGTGCGGTTTCCATAGACCGCCGGGTAGCTAATGAAATTTTAGCTAATGCTTTCGAAGGTTCCTACAAATAGCATCCTTCTGATTCCATAATGGAGGTGGGGGAGCAATTGGCTGCTACAGATTATGATGATGAGGTAGTGATGTCGAGGTTAATAGACATTGGCAAGAAGGTTGGTATGGTCGTACATGGGAACGATGAGCAGGATCGAGAAAAATTAATTAAGATAAACGTACGCGACAGAATGATTGCGAATACACATGGGGTTCGCTTTGGTTTCAAATGAAGATTGACTCGTTTAATTGTCGAGAGTTGGGGAGCAAGGTGAAGCGATAGAATGTGGGTGAAATTGTTTGCTCTGAAGGTCTAGAGTTTTTGGTAATTCAAGAAACAAAACTTGAGACATGTAATCGCAATTTATGTGCACGTCTGTGGGGTTCTATGGATTTTGATTGGATTGCCTTACCCTTCGTTGGTAAAAGCGGGGGTATGCTTTCACTTTGGGATACATCCAAAGGTAAAATACTTTGCTCCTTTTCTGGTACTGGATTCCTGGGTGTTTGTTTGCAAGTATTGACTACTGGAAACTTATGTGTTATGGTGAATGTCTTATGGGATGATTTGCTCATGACAAGAAGGGGTTTTATCAAATTTATGTGGTGTATATTAGGTGACTTCAATGTTGTGCGACAGGTGAATGAGAGGAAGGGTTGTTAGGTAGACCATGGTATCTCTCAAATAGATGGCTTCAATTCTTTCATTCAGGAAATGGAGCTTGTGGATCTTCTACTTGTGGGTAAGAAATTTACATGGATAAGGGGGGATGCTTCTATGATGAGCAAGCTGAATAGAGTCCTTGTTTCTGGTTCCTGGATTGATTATTGGAGAGATGGTTTTATTCAGGTTCTGAGCAGAGATGTGTCTGATCATTGTCCCATTATTCTAAAGCACAAAGTGGTTAACTAGGGTCTGAAGTCATTTCGATTTAACAATTGTTGGCTAACTCATAAGGGAGTTGTGGAGGGTGATTTAAATACAATTGTGGGTGATTTAACATTTATGTGTTAACGAGGGGAGGCGACGAAATAAAATACACGCGCTTCAAATAGGGGAGAGATGTGTTGAAGAGGTTAACGAGATTAAAACAGGTGTGATGTCTTATTTTGCATATCATTTTAGTAGTAGAGGTTGGCTTCGACCTACTATTGATGTTAATGATTTACCGAGAGTCTCTATTCTACAGAATGAAGGACTTGTTAATGCTTTTTTGGAGGAAGGAGTGAGGAGGATGATTTTGGAATGTGAGGGAGATAAAAGCCCGGGGCCTGATGGTTTTAATTTTGTGTTCTTTAAGAGGTCTTAGAGAGTAATCAAGGGAGAAGTGATGAGTATGCTTGCTAAATTTTTTACAAATGGAAAACTACCGAAGTCTTTGTAATCCTACTTTATAGTATTTATGCCAAAAGTATCTTGTCCACAACAAACTACTGATTTTTTGCCTATCTCATTGCTCGATTGCCTTTATAAGACTGTTTCCAAGCTTCTAGAAAATAGGTTGAAAGGAGTTCTTGATTCAATAATTTCAGAACAACAATCAACCTTTATTCCAGGAAGGAACATGTTAGATAGTGTGCTTAGGTGGCTAATAAAACAGTAGATTATGTGCGGAGGCATAACAAGAGGTGTTTTTGTGTTAAAGCTTGATTATGAGAAGGCTTATGATTCGGTAGAGTGAGGATATCTTCTATTTATGTTACGTAACTTTGGATTTTCAAAAAAATGGGTCAGTTGGATAGAAGCTTGTATGTATGGGAGTAGCCTATCAGCTTTGATTAATGGTTGTCCTACATTGGAGGTTAATATTGGGCGGGACCTAAAATAGGGGGATCCTCTTGCCCCTTTTCTTTTTCTTGTGGCAGCGGAGGGGTTAGGAGTCCTTATGGGGAAGACAGTAGCATGTGAGTTGTTCTCTGATGTGAAGATTTGAGTTGGGGGACCAGATATTTTTTTGCTACAATTTGTGGATGACACATTGATTATGGGAGAGGCTTCAGTTCAGAATTTGTGGACTTTTAAAGCAGTATTGCGTAACTTTGAGTTAATTTCAGGTATGAAAATTAACTTTCATAAAAGTTGTATATTGGGGATTAATACTGCCGATGACTTTGAAAACTTGGCTGCAGAGTTCCTACATCGTAAGATTGGTAGCTTCCTATTAAAGTATCTTGGGTTACAGTTATGTGTTAACCCAAGGAAGCCTAGTGCATGGAAGGGTGTATTAGATGCTCTTAAAAAGATGTTGACGTCATGGAAGCATAGGTATTTATCGATTGGAGGCAGGGTGACTCTGATTAATGCCATTCTTAGTACTATGTTATTGTACTCGTTATCCTTTTTTAAGGCACTGAAGTCGATGATAAAGGAGATTGTCACTATCCAGCGAAGTTTTTTATGGAAAGTTGTTAAAGGATGGATCAAAAATCCCCTGGGTGAAATGGGAAACAGTTTGTAGACTGCGGAAAAATGGTGGCTTGGACATTAAGAATGTGCAGTGATTTAATTGGACACTTCTTGGTAAATAGTTGTGGCGAAGTGTTAATTGTTCTAGTTTATTGTGGGTGCGGGTGTTGAAAGCTAGATATGGCAGATTAGCTTCTATTATTCAGCGTCCACTAGTCCATAACAAATGTTTTTTGTGGTGACGTGATTTGCTAAATGTTATTCATCAAGAAAATTCATAGTTGAATGAGAAGTTGGATAGGAATGTGGGGACAAGTTTGCACACTCTTTTTTAGAGAGATAAGTGGGTAGGTGAAGTGCGATTGTATGAGGCATTTTCGTGATTGTTTGCGATGGCAAAGAATGTTGAATCTTGTGTATTGGAGAATGGTTTTCATGATGGCATTA